AGTATCACTAGCCTAGAAAATCCACTAGACTTACTAATCTAATTTCTGAAATCTCCAACACCCGCTAGAACGTCTCACACCTGCTTCTAATATTCTAGAATTGTCTATCTCTTGTGGAATACTAAGAACACCTCGTCTTGTTCTCTTCAGGTGCTTCTGGTCCAACCTACCTCAATGTTCAACAACATCTGAAAACTATTGAAAAAGTACATTTCTGATGATATCTAGGAAGTTGGTGTTTGGAATTATATGAATTAGATGTTTTTCCCAAACTTGTGGTTCATTGATCTCAAAAATCAATATGTTAATCTAAATATTTGGATGTATTCTTGAATTTTGAAATAATGATATAAGGATGTAAAACAATTATCAACCACCGCCAAAAACGTACTGGGCATTGGGTCTTTATAATAGGAGGTGTTTAGGTAGTATATGATAGATAAAACTCTTGAAACGGGTAAACTAGAGTTTCTTGAAAAACACTGTCGCTCGAGCGCTAGGCTAGTGACAGGCGAGCAAGAGGTGCGTCGCTCGAGCGAGAGCCGGGCGACAATGATTCTGCTTTGGACGCTCGAGTATCAGCTAGACGATAGACTAGCGTAAATCTGATAACTCTTTCTTCTTATTCCATACTCGAACTCAAAGACTCATAATTCATTTATACAACCCTCCAAAAGACTCCTTGACTTTTACAACTCTTTTGTAACGATCTTATGCTTTTACAATAATCTTTTTATCTAAAGAATTGTCAATACAACTAAAAATCTAACAATCTCCCCCTTTGGTATTTTGTGACAATATAATAGAAGTCAATGATGTAAAAACAAATTAATCTACCCAAACTCAAAATGAATGTCTATCTCTTATATTCCTTAAAATCTATTTCCTGAAATTAATAACTCAAATATCAAACGTAAAAGTACGTGATATAGGAAATATAATAATTGAAACAGACTATTATTTGCTAGCAAGATTGAGAAGCAATACAATGCTAATCAAAACACCAACTAATACATTAATATCACAAAATATCAGCATTCAAAATAAATCATCTCCCACTAAAAAAAAAAATCTCCATCTTACTACAAAATAAACTAAAATTTAAATGCATCTTATCATCTCTCCCTCTTTTTGTCACAAATGACAAAGGTAACAACAATATTTAATAACTCAAACATGTAGTTGATAGTATGCACAAATATAATCAATAATCAGTAAACTTTCACACATACTCAGTTCAAGTCTAAATTAAGTAAATTGTATAAGTGAGTCATTTGTGTTAGGTGCCACTAATTCCTTGTGATCAATACTCCAAACCTTAAATTTGTGAGAAATGACATTCTAAACATCACTGTTAGATAAATTTACTCTCCTACTAATAAAAGTCAAGCTAATAATGCATATGAGGACCTATAAATAAAGCTTATTTTTCATATGTATTATTCTTTTCTCCCCCTTATTTTGAGTATATATACATTTTCACACAATTTATATTTTTCTTTTTGAACTCATCATTTTTTTTTTCAATTTTTCACATCTTATGTGCAAACTCATTTTCATTGGGCGACTACGATGACCATTGTAACGAGTTTTGGACATATGACTCCAAGTCAGTTAACTATAGGGTATCAGATTACGAGAAACCCCTTCAGTTTAATTACTTGAGTCAAATAAGTTTTAAAGAGGAGTATAAGATGAAATATTTTTATTTTGTTTAAGGGGATATACTTGAGTTTTGATCTACTAAATTAAGGTCAATTCATATTCAAAGTCACATTACCAACAAATGACAAACATCACAAATCTGACACAGGCGGTCAAAACTTTTTCACAAGATCATAGTGTGTACAGTGCAGATAGTATATGAAGAAACATATACTAAGTAATCCATATCAACCTAAACAAAGTAATGGAAAATATCCTACAACACATCAATTAAACTCATACTTGGTCACAACATACATGTTCGAGTAAATCATATATCATGTTTTAGTAAAGAATTTCTCCTCTATTTTTTATTTTTCAATTTTTCAATTTTTTTTAATTTAAAAAAAGATCAACCTACCTAAAAAGTAAAATCAAACAAAAAAAAATGAGATGCATGCAATAATGAATAAATCAATTAAAAAATATAAGCATGTGAATGACACAGAGTTAAATTTCTCAATTAAAAGCAACATGTCACTTTTTAATTGCTCTAAATGTTTAGTCAATCAAGTCAAGTTATCATATGTTGAATTGTCGCAATCAATAATTAAAGTAGTAAATAACACGAGATTGATGATAGGGAAAACTCTTAACTGGATAAAACATTCGGGACCAAATCAATAGTTTTCACTATAGACAATAAGAACTTACAGTATAATTCAGCCTACAAAACCTACTAGACTCGCTAATCTAATTACTGTAATCTCCAAGACCCGCGGAATGTACTTCACTCACACCTGCTTCCAATCTTTTGGAATTGTCTATCTCTTGTAATACATCAAGAACGCCTCGTTCTGGTATTCTTCATGTGCATCTGGTCCAGCCTCCCTCAATCTTCAACAACTTCTGAAAGTTATTAAGAAAGTATATTCCTGATAATATCTAGGAAGTTGGTGTTTTGGATTATATGAATTAGATGTTTTCCCAAACATGTGGTTGATTAATCTCAAGAATCTATAAGTTAAAACTAAATATTTGGATGTGTTCTTGGATCTTGAAATGATTATATAAAGATGTAAAACAATTATCAACCACCACAAAAAAGGTACTGGCATTTCGTAGTTATAATATGAGGTGTTTAAGTGGTATATGATAGATAAAACTCTTGAAAAACGCAAACTAAGATTTCTCGAAAAACATCGTTGCTCGAGCGCCGACTAGTGATAGATGAGGGAGAGGTGCGTCCCTCGAACAAGAGTCGGACGACAATGATTATACTTTGGACGCTTGAGCATCAGCTAGCTAGGCAACTGGCTAACGTAAATTCGACAACCCTTTTTTTTATTCCATAGTCGAACCCAAAAACTCCTAATTTATCTCTACAACCCCCAAAGATTCCTTGACTTTTACAACTTTTTTGTAACAATTCTATTCTTCTATAATAATCCTTATATTTAAAGAATTGCCAATACAACTACAAACCTAACACAATTAATATTCCATTAGTTAGTCATTTTTGGCTCAACAATGTGCTAATTCGAAGCTAAAATTAAGGGCAGGACTTGAGATCACCATAATGGAAAATTGTCTTTGAGTTCGTTATATGTAAGACTTGAGCATAGCTGGAAGGCTTGGGTAAATGTTAACTCGCTTATGATTCGTGAACTTCAGAGACCCTCGTTGAATGAAAGTATCCAT